CATTTTCCACCACCATGGATAATATCCCTCCCACCCCCATCCCCCCATCCCCCCTGTCTCTGTGGCAGGGCAATCCCCTGTGTTCTCTCTCTCCTTTTGAAAACCCACCCCTCTTGGGAGGCATTTTTTACCCTGTGTGCCCAGAAAAGTTTATGACATACATTTTTAAAATGTCTGAAGGTTGACATCAGAAACTGCAGTGCCAAAGCAGATGGGACTCGTATTCTAAGTTAGATGCCAGTTGGTATAGCCTTTCTGGAAAATTCACGATCATTGAGAAATAGAAACACCATATACCCCAGCAGTACCACAGTTAGGAATTTCCCTGAAGAAAAAGAAAGCACCAGTCCAGAAAGATGTGCATCCCTATGTACTCCACAGCAGTCTTCACGACACCCAGGTGTGCTAACAGCCTGCATGCCCTTTGATGGATGGTGGATAAAGAAGTTGTGAGATGCATCCTTAATGGAGTATTCCCCAGCTTAAAAGGCCTCTGTGGCAATACAACTGGAACTTGGGGTGACAAGATGCTAAGCTAGGTCAAAGTGAAAGAGTGAAAACCAGGTGGCTTCCTTCTCAAGTGAAAAGTTGATAATTGAAGCAAATGAACTTACAAAAGACAACACAAGCAACTCTTTAGCTTTGTAAAAAAATATCATGGTTGTCAGAGAGACAGAGATGGGGCGTGGGAAGAATAAGCAGGGGAATTTAGTTTGAGAGCATGGATGGCTCTGGTGGCTGTGAGGCAGACGCATACTGGGCTGTGGGGCAGTATCCCTAACACTCACATCGCATTATAAACCAGTGGTAAAGCGATGGTTTTAAGATAAATACAAACAAAAGGCCTGTTGGTCATTAATTAATGTTTTAAGATATTTAATGACTCACAAAGTCTAATAATCCTTGGTATAAGAGAACCCCATAGCACCCCATAGCACCCCATAGCACCCCTGCCTATGGCCTGGTATGCTCTGCGCACCACTAGGGTGGCCCCTGTAAGAACAGCAAAATTCAAAACCAGCAAAATTCAGTAAGAATGTCAAGTATTTTAATATTGGGTGTACCAGGAAAATAATTCATTATATGTACAATATTGTTCGAATAGACTATATTAAAAATATTTATAGGTGTTTTGTGAACATTTTATAAAATTAAGAAAAATGATAACAACAAAATAAAAATGTAGACATAGCAAATCAAATTTTTTTTCTGTTCTACTAATTTGGGTTATCTGGGTACTTGTATTAGGCAGTGACCTTCATCACATATAACATCAGCAATCATGTAGGAAACTGGATTATACTCAGGTCACCAATGCTGTGTCTGGATTTTAAATGCAACACTAATAGGTTATTGTTTATCATTATTTCTGGTTCCTTGAGTGTTTGCATCAACACAATGAATACTGTTGAAAAGTTTTAAGGCTCATGCTTTTGTAGAAAGTAGTCAATGTCTTGTTTTATACTTAAATTTCCATTTTTTGTTTTATGAGTGTAAACTAAATTGATCAATTTATTGACCTTTATTTCTACATATTTGTGCTTCCAGGCACATTTGTGTCTGTGTGTGTGTGCATATATGTATATATACATATATATACACATATTAAAATTTGTCTAGTTGGGGCTGGAGCAATAGTACAGTGGGGAGGGCATTTGCCTTGCATGCGGCCAACCTTGGTTCAATCCCCGGCATCCCATATGGTCCTCTGAGCACTGCCAGGAGTAATTCCTGGGCACAGAGCCAGGAGTAACCCATAAGCATTGCTGGGTGTGACCCAAAAAGAAAAAAAAAACTTTAGCTAGTCATGAATCACGATAAGTAAATTTTTACACCCAAATATCACAAAAACACACATAGTTTGTATGTACTTTTAGCACAGCATGGTGGTCCAGGTTCTTGTCATGAAATTGTAAATGATTTTTTAATTTTTTTTAATGACAGGGTTAAAGTATACATACTTACTGTTTTGTAAATATATTGTTAGCTTTTTAAATTGAGTTTGAGAAAATTGATTCATCTTAAACATACAGTCTGAGATTTTGCTTATAGTTTATTTTGCCATGAAATAGTATTTCTGCTTTTTGCCTTCATCTTTTGACTCATCTGACAACCATAAAAAGTCTTTCGTTGTTAATTTTTTCCTTTTGGCCACACTTGGCAGCAGTTAGGGCTTACTCCTGGTTCTGTGCTCAGATATGACTCCAAGTGGGGCTCAGGCCATATGTAGTTCTGGGATCAGCTGAGGTTGGTTGCTTTCAAGGCAGGTGCCCTATCCACTGTACTGTTGCTCTGGTCCCAAAACTTTGAATTCTTAACTGTCTAGTGAAAGTAATATGGCAAAGATTGTGTCTCCAGATTTCTTCTTCGGTCATTTAAGAGATGATGCATTATCTTGGACCACACATAATAAAATTTAAGGATGATGAAATAATGATGGTTGATAAATACGTACATATATATGTATATATGTGTGTGTGTTCATTTCTAGTCAGTTAAATATTTTTGTTTTCTTATTGTACTTTGTAGCAAAAATATTGCAACTATTTGATGAATGATGGAAATAATTAGTTGAGTGATAGTGAAATAATTTCTAGGATGAAATAGCAAAGTGTCTCAAGATGGAGGAAAAGGTATCCTAAGATCTTATAAGGTATCAATGGACTGAGATGATAATAGTAAGATAGGAGCTTTGTCCTGTTAAAAATAAGTAAATTCAGGGACCAGAGAAATGGTGCAACAAGTAATGTGCTTGCTTTGCATGAAGCTGACCCAAGTTCAACCCCTAGCACCACATATGGTCCACTGATCTATGCCAGGAACGAGCCATGAGCATAGAGCCAGGAGTAAGCCATGAGAATAATAAAAAGTGGCAAAGATAATAATAAAGGCCATGGAATATTAAATCTTATAAGTAGAAATGCCCAACGAGGATGATTGTGGAGTCTAATTGATTCATGATGCTAACCACAAAGGAGTTGGAATTCAGGGCTGGAAAGATTGCTGAATAGGGTGAATGCATGCTTTGTAAGAAATAGGCCCAGGTTTGATCCCTGACAGTATCTGAGGACCCCAACCACCTCTGAGAGAAATTCTCAATACCTCCACCCTCACCCCCCTCCTCAAAGTAAGTTTACTTCAGGTCCAGGGATATGGTTCAGTGACAGAGCTTGCCTTGCATGTATGAGGCCCTGGGTTTTATCCCTGGCTCCGCTTTCCACCTCCAACCATCTTCCAGGAAAGTTTAATTCAAGTAGATAGCAAATAAAAGAAATAAGGAATTTGGTATGACCACACCCCCCCTTTTTTTTCGGGATCTGGATACACAGCAATGCTCAGGGCTTAACCTCCTGGTTCTGTGTTCAGAGATCACTCCCGGCAGTGGTTCAGACTGAGGTTAGAAGTATGCAAGACAAGAACCTTACCCCTGTACTATCCCTGTAGGCCCAAGATTCCTTTTTTCTTAAACCTGATAAAATTTTAGAAGTGCATCCTTAATAAAACTTTTTTTTTCTGGATTTTAAGTTTATAAGTTTTCATTGTCAGGCCATCAGTTTCATAAAGTATCCTCTCATATTTTTGTTCTCTGAATAAAATGTCAATTCAAACTATCATTTTAAAAAGCTTTAAATGATGTTGTCTGTATTTCATCCCCTCTTTTAACTCTTACCTCACTAATCTGAAAAATTGTTGAGTCATTTTTTTTTCTTTTTTTTTGCTTTTTGGGTCACACCCAGTCATGCACAGACATTACTCCTGGCTGATGCACTCAGGAATTACTCCTGGCAGTGCTCGGGGGATCATAAGGGATGCTGGGAGTCGAACCTGGGTAGGCTGTGTGCAAGGCAAATGCCCTATCTGCTATGCTATTGCTCCAGCCCCGATGAGCCATTTCCTAAATAATTTACTTAAACTCCCTTTTAGTTTAAAAAGGTAAAGGCCCTCCCGTTGATCGTCGATTTGCTCGAGCGGGCCCAGTAACGTCTCCATTGGAGACTTTGTTGTTACTGTGTCTGGCATATCGAATACTCTCGGTAGCTTGCCGGGCTCTCCGAGAGGGGCGGAGGAATCGAACTCGGGTCGGCCATGTTGGCCGCTTGTAAGGCGAACGCCCTACCCGCTGTGCTATCGCTCCAGCCCTTTTAGTTTGAACAGTCTTTATTTCCTATATAAGGGAAACAAGTTTCTGGAGAAATCTTAGACCAATTTAGAAATTCTCCATTTGCCCTGCAGTCCAGCCAAGGGACGGAATCTGTACTTAGATTTCTATGTACAAGTTGTTAGATTCCTGTCTAGTCAGCATTATTGAGTGGGCATCATTGGTGAGCATCATTTCTCAGTTCAGTTTCAGACCACTTGCTTGAGTGGGGGTATATTCCAGCACCTTAAGGTTTCCACATGAAGTCACTATGACCGTGCCAGAGCAAGAAGGATCTAGGTTTGATTGATAACTGTCAGCTTGACCCATGATTTAATCTAATGAATATCTACTAGGGCTTGAATCATCAATAAATCTATTGCCAGCCCCAGTGTATGGAGTACGTGTCTGTGTTGCTCACTCTCCTTCCATCCTTCCTGGACTCAGGTTGACTGTCAGGCTCATTAAAGGTATTGAGTTATATTTAATCTTTGGGTGGCATTGAGATGAAAAATACCATTGAGGAAATTCCTGAATGGAGTGAACCTACACTTTATACTTTTTTTTCTGGGGCCACACCCAGCAGTGCTCAAGGCTTACTCCTGTCTCTGCTTTCAAGGATCACTCCTGGCAGGGTTCATAGGACCCTATGGGGTACCGGGGATCAAACCCTGGTCATTGGCATGCAAAGCAAGTGCTCTACTATTGTCTGTTCCTAAGACTTCAGACTACTTATGTGTCTCATTCAGCTCTTCCAATTCTGTGTTTCCAATACCCAAGGGCAAAGAGAACAAACCTGTAGTAGTATTTCAGCCTTGACTGTTTCCTATTACCAATCCCATTCTGTTGTCTCCTCTGTTAGATTTTTATTAACAACGAGTGGCAAAACTCAGAGAGTGGCAGAGTATTCCCTGTCTATAATCCAGCCACTGGAGAAGAGGTGTGTGAAGTACAAGAAGCAGACAAGGTAAGTCAACAAGCTCCCCCAGGCAAAGAGCAGCCTTCAGAGAGCCGTGCTCTCCGGTCACCCACCCTGCCCTTCTGTCATGAAAGTCTATGTTTTCCCTTCCCTTGGAATGTTCTGGCTCTGCAGTTGCCCCTCTTTGTCACTCACAGGCAGATATCGACAAAGCAGTTCAGGCAGCCCGCCTGGCTTTCTCCCTTGGCTCCGTATGGAGAAGGATGGATGCTTCAGAGAGAGGCTGTCTGCTGGATAAGCTCGCAGACTTGGTGGAGCGAGACAGGGCAGTTCTGGCCGTAAGTAGCCTGAGCAAAACCGTTGAGTCCTAACTTCCCACTCCCAGTTCTCCAGAAATGGAGATTCCTTTAGTGTTTCTGGATCCGTCTGCACTAGACGTGTGTGTGTGTGTGTGTGTGTGTGTGTGTGTGTGTGTGTGTGTGTGTATGAAAGAGAGAGAGCGAGAGAGAGAGGGAGGGAAAGAGGGAGGGAGAGAGAGAGGGAGAGAGTTGTATTATACACAGGAAACAAGAAATGTTTGAAGAATATGGTGACCAAGCAAGGAAGGGTGAGCACAGGTCTCCTCCAACTGAATTCTGTAGAAAAGCCGTAACTTCTCAGTCTGGGGATCGACCCTTTCTCTGCATTCTGTGAACAAACATCGAACCCAAACAGCCACAAAGCAGGAGAAGTACAATGGTGCAATTAGAAAGCTCGTACCATTTAAAAATTTTTAAGCAATCAAGTAGCATGAGTTGTTTTCAGCTCTCCAGGGCTTGCTCTTCTTGGGAAGACATCAGGAGTACAAGTACAGGCCATGGCAAGGATGTCTTTCAAGTAGTCACTGACTCCCCTGTCACTTTCTAGAGTCAGTAGAAAGAACTAGAGAGGGAGATAATGGGCTTGCCCTCTACTAGTGGTTTTGTTGTTGGGACTGCTACTTTTATTATTTTTTAAGGGTAGAGGGCTCCCAGGTGGTGATTAGGAACCCAGAACACCCTGAGGCCCCAAACCCAAACCCAGTGATTCTTAGCCAACTGAGTCAGCAGCTCAAGGAAAAGGACTAGCTTTTCGGAAATTTTAATCATTAAGAATCTTATACCCCAGGAATCTCCACCATGATGACCCACAGTTGGTGAGTTAATAGGTGGAGTGTTCTTGTTCAGTTAGGCATTCAAGTCCTGAATCTCCTGATCGCCTAACCTGCCTGTGGAAATACAGCTCACTGTTGCACTTGCTTTGGAAGAGGGAGGTCTTTGTGCTTCTCCCCACCCTCACTTCAGTCAGAGCTCTGCTACCACCAGATTTCTCTGGGAACTGTTTCTTGTGTGGAGACAGGCCCAATCATGTGTGGAGATGCTTCCATACCCTAACTACATACCAGTACATACCAGCTGTTTGGCTTGAAAACATTTATTTTGTATGTGTGCACCTGTTTTCAATATTTTTATTATTTATTTTTAGTAAACAAGAGCAGTTTTTATTGAATGAAATTTAGTGTGCGTGTGAAATAAAGAGAGAGAGAGAGAAAGAGAGAGATGTTCAAGTGAACACTGGCTTCTGAGAGATTAAAGACTCTGAGAAGTCGTAATATTTCTCAAACTTATTTGAGCTTCAGCATTGTTTAATCTATCAATTTTGTATGAAAATATTCTGTAGCACACTTTGGGCGATGCTGGTCTATCTATCTGCTTGTCTCTTCTCTAGTTTATTATTTCTTTTGAGGGTAATAGTTTTATTTTACTTTTTTTGTAATTTAAGCACAGTGCTTTGTGTATAAATGATCAGTGGAGCTACAGGTTGTCAATAAGTATCTGAATTAAATATATTGTATAAAATATGAACATTGTGTATATGCTTATATTAACACATATAAGCATATACACAGTAAAGTAAAGTAAAGTAAAGGCCCTCCCATTGATCATCGATTTGCTCGAGCGGGCCCAGTAACGTCTCCATTGGAGACTTTGTTGTTACTGTGTTTGGCATATCGAATACGTCACGGGGAGCTTGCCAGGCTCTGCTGTGCGGGCGAGATACTCTCGGCAGCTTGCCGGGCTCTCCGAGAGGGGCAGAGGAATCGAACTCGGGTCGGCCATGTTGGCTGCACAGAGTATATGTTTTTCCAGCAATAGATTGTTTGTAAGTCTCTGCTTGGTGACTATTTAGTTCTTTTCTGCAGTTATATTTTTACTGCCAAAATTCAAACGAAATTCGAATTTGGTGACATGCCTCACTTTCATGAAATTCCTCTTCTCATCAAATATTTACAGTGATATTTCTACCTTGAAACATCCTTAAGTTTGAAGCTACTGGATTTTAGGAAGAGATAGCTTTTGGGTTATAGGGAGAGCCTGACCAGAACTTGGAAGTTAATGAAGCACCTAAGTAAACACAATTGAAAATTAACCTAGGGCTGGGAACTCTCTGCTGTATGTGATTGGTGTCAACAACTCACAGAGGCATATTGAAGACCCAGATTCTGGTTTCTGACTCCTTTTCACAGTGCCCTGTAGATCTTATTGTCTGTTACCTGCCTGGGGAAGCTAGTGATCCTGGTATAACATTTTAACAAGTGCTGGCAAAATAATTTGACTCTCAGTTGATAAAAGTGAGACAATATAGAGTAATAAGTAATGTCATATTTTAAAATAAGTTTCAAAGTAGTCACACTGTAAATCATTGTATTTTCATGTCACTAAATAGACGATATTTCAATTTTACCTTTGTCAGCACTCAAGTAATTTTCACACAACTACGTGTTGTAAAATGTTCTCACAGAGAAGGAGAGATTACAGACACATGTTTTTGTGATTTCATTTATTACATTTTATACTTAATGTTTCACAAGGCAACTTCTCATTTCAGTGTGTTTGTAATTCTTTTTTGTTACAGACTCAGGAACAAGATGTCAAAATTGTGTGTGTAATTAAAACTACATAATATCTCTATTTTTGTTAAATGGACCAAAATTTCTACTTTTAATAGATAATGGCTGTTAACATAAATATTTACTAAAACAATAACGCAGCCTTCAAGTTGTTAAAGTATGGGCTTCCCTGTAGGAGTTCTTGTTTATGTGATGCACTAATAAATAAACTCTGTGCCCTGTAGATATTTCATTTCTCAGCAGTGGTCTTGGCAGCTGGAAGAAGTTATATTCTCACAGTTGCATGAAGGCCTTGGCCCCTGCTCCTCTTCACTGGTTGCTGGTTTAGGCTCAAGAAAATCCCTAAACATCTCTGATCATTAATTAAACAGAAGCTGGTTTGACAAGCTAAACATTTCTTTATATCAGTTGGAGAGATGTTGTGTTTACATATTTGGATATTGGTTACTGGAAGCACAGAGGTTGAAGAGCATGAACATGGGTATTCATTAGGGTTTTTACCCAGAAAATAAACAAGCAGTGCAAAAAAAAACCCTGTTTTAATTGGGAAATCAGTTGACTACTCATTTTATGCTTTGTTATGTTATATCTTTTTATTTCTTCTCCAGAAATTAAATAGTGCCTCATTTGAAAGTTTTCTTCATGTTTTATTTTTCCCCTGCAGACCATGGAATCACTAAATGGTGGAAAACCATTTCTGCAAGCTTTTTATGTGGATTTACAGGGGGTCATCAAAACACTGCGGTATTATGCAGGCTGGGCAGATAAAATCCACGGAATGACCATTCCTGTAGGTACGTGCTGCTTGAGTCTGTTGGAACACACATTCACCATCACCGCACCAATCTCTGCACTCAGAGAAGCCAGCACCAGAGGGGAAATCAGGGCATGTCACTAACTCCGACAGTGTGTGGACAGTCCATACTGTAAGTGCAGGTCAAGCCATTTACAGCAGCATCTCAGTTGGACCAGGGCAGGTGTGTATGCGTGTCAGTGACTAAGTGTGTCCTGCAGTGCTGAGCTGAGATATGGGGGAAAGGCCTAAGAAGGAGGGATGTCAGAAAAATTCTGAGTAAACCAAGACTTGATCCTTGCCCCCTTGAGGCATAGACTTAATTTTATATAGAAGGAGGAGTCAATTCTGTGGAAATACTCTGAAATGTTTGTGGAAATATTCTGAAAAGTTTGTTGTCTTCTCATGGTGAGAGTATGAATGAATATTTTATCAATCTTACATTTACTTCTTTTTTAAATGCTCTTTTTATTATGTTTTCTATATTGATCAAGGAATTACTATGCCTGTGAAAACAACGATCATTCTGACACTTCATTGGCCCCCAAGATCCAGGTTTGGGTACAAAACTAAAAACACCAAAGAAAGGTCTCTAAAGGGGAGTTCAAAGGAGGTGTTCAGTGCGGTTCGTGGTATGATGTGTCCAAGCTTAATCTTCCAAAGAGGGGAGGCTCCAAGCTAATCTAGAGGGTGGGAGCACCTGGAAGGGAGCATAGTGGCAGAGAGTGGGCTCCCAAACTCTGTGTCTGCAGCAACCTCGGAGAAGCCACTGGGAATCATGTTCTTGTTTACAGAGGAGGAAGCTGTGACCTAGAGGACAGGAATGATTTCCCTAGGTTCCACAGAGACTTGCTTCAGACACCAAGAGCTACCTATGTGGGAAACAAGAAAGAGGATTGTGCCAGCCTGGCTCTGGCTGAAGAAGAGACAAACAGACCCAGGATGCTGAGCAGGGCGGGTCACAGAGGACAGAAAGGGCATGTTTATGAAGGCTCCTGGATGCTGTCATTCTGGCTACTGTAAAGCAGTGTTTTTGCTTCCAGCCCATTTCCAGCCGGGTTTTCTTCCCGTGCCCTGCCCCCGCCCCCAAGACCCTCCCCCTGTCTGTCAGCTGATATTCCACATGTGTGTCCCCATCGGAGCAGTGTTCACCTCTGACCCTCTTTGGAATGTCCTGGATGCCCACTGAAAGCCATGTGGCCCCCGCATGAGAAATGCTGATCTAAAGGCCTTTGGGGCCTCCCTAGTTGATGAGTCTGGAGTTGCTGCAAGAGGAGGGTGGTTTGACTCCTAATGCACGAAGAATAAAGCAGTGTTTCCCCCCTACCACCTGGCATCTTCATGCAGTTTCTGATTATATGTGAGTGGGGCCTGGGACTCTGAATTCCTTACCAGCCACCATTAGATTCTCCCAGACCTGGTCTGCTGCAGAGAACTTAGAAACCAGCACGAGGCAGAAGGGCATCGTGTTGCCTTGTGCCAGCAGGGGCCAAGAGACACTGTAGCAGAAATGAGACATCAAATGGGTATTTTTGAAGGCGCTTTCATGAGTGATGGTGACTGTGCAGTGCTGGTCTTTAGAACACTAGTTTTCAATTATCATTGCATGTCCCCATCATCCTGAGCTGTCCTTTGTAAAGCAGAGTTAGATGACAGACAAAATTGCCTGCAGGGACTGCCAGAGTCTTAGTTCAGTCCTGGCTTTAAAGTGTGTCACAGGCCTGATGGCCTCCAGCACTTGCTACATCTGGGAATGGCCTACGTGAGTCATTTTTGGCAAGAGCATTCCTGTTAGAGGACCTGAGAATGAAATATTGTGTTGAAACAGCACACGTGTAAGGTGTTTTTTTTTTAAGGGGGGTGGGTTGGCGTGTCCAAAGGGAAATGAACAAGATAAAAAGTCTGTTTTTTTTTATTCCTTCAATATTCTTTGATGATTGAAGCAAAAAGTAAGGGGGTCAGGAATGTGAGTTAATGGTCGAACAGATGTCTGGCGTTGTGTGAGACTTTGAATTTGATTGGGAAGAAAGGGAAGGGGAAGAGAAAGGATGGAGAGACAGGGAGGAAATGGAAGGAGAAAGGGGAAGGGGAGGGGAAGGAAGGAAAGGAAAGAGCCTAGGGGGAGCTGAAAGAAGGAAGAGAGAGGAAGGATGATTCAGACTTCTAAGCCTCATCTTTTTTTTTTTTCATCTGATGCTCCTTGTAGATCCTGAGGATATTGACAGAGAAATTAGAAACATGGGAATTTCACAGTGATTTCTCCCACCTTTATTTATAAACTGGTATTCAGTCTGTGAAGGAAAAGAAGTGAAGAATTCTCTTTAAGTGCTAGATCATTTTTTTTTTGGTTGTTGTTTCCCAAATGTTTCTGATAAAGTAATTTAGGAAGATGGCAGGGTGAGGGATTCTGTGGGATGAGGGTTCGACGCAGAACTTCTAGGGGCCTGTGAATTTGGGATAGAAGAGCTTCCATTGGGTGCTCGGGTTGGGAATGATGAATGGCTGCAGAGGTGGGTTGGAAGCCCCTCTCTCTGCTCCAGTTGTAAGCACATTTAGACTTACCTGTGGGCTGATTAGAAGTCACCTGTGACCTTGTTGACTGGTTAGTGAGTCTGGAGAAAAACAGGGGTGGGGAAGGAAGGATAGAGAAAGGATAGGAAAAGGAGGGGGTCCATTATTATTAATTTTGCCTTATTTTTTAAATCTAGTTTTATTTATTTTACCAATAACTTTACAATTTCACATCAGCTTGCATTTTGGTCTCTGCTCCTTTTGCCAGTGAAACCTGTAAGATGCTGTTAGCCTATAAGCATGAGATCTTTATTAAATTACATGCATATCCCTGGGAAATATTCTGACTTTTTATTTGAAATATGCCATGAAGAAACAACATGCCTTACACCTTTACAGCATTTGATATTGTCAAATGTTCCTTCATGTACAGGCTCTGTGTGATTCTGTATGTGATCTTGCGATACAGATTGGATTTAAAAGATATTGAACCCATTTTGTAGGTATGAAACTGAGTCAGGGGAGGCTTGATCAGGTCATAAGGCCAGTAAGTGGCATTCTGTCTCCTTCTGCTTGACTCTTTGTAAGGCAGAGATGAAATTTATAAGGGTTGGAAGAGGAAGAGGCCATTTACCCTGGTAAAGTTTTTTCTTTTAACCCTCTGCATATTTATTTGATTACTGTACTATCTTGAATTGGTTCCCATTATTCATACTAGTTGTATTCTGTAAAGTGAGACTGCAAATACAGAACTATTATCTTCAGTAGTACTTAGGTTTAGGTGAGTTTCCAGGCCCACAAATTCTGTCCACTGGTAAAAACCTGACCTTGTCTTCTGCATTTCTTCTTGAAGACTCCTTACTGTGGACACAAAACCTGACCTTGTCTTCTGCATTTCTTCTTGAAGACCCCTTACTGTAGACACAATCAAGAATCACTGAAGGTGCTGAGAATCTTGCTTTTTGGCTAACAGATACAACTTAGGAAATTACCAAACACTTTTAAGCAGTCTAAAAAATAAAATTAGGTCAATTCTCAAACACAGAAATTGTGAATGATTGGGTCGACTCTCCAGAGGCTCATCTTCCCAGGGGAGTGTTTCAGTGTTTCTGAATTTCAAATGTTGTAAACTTCAGACTGTAGATCTCACTACCTCTGCATGTGAAGCAGATTGCTTTCAGAAGTATCAGGGCTGAAAGGTAGAGTTCTGTCTGAGAAGGCATGAAGTTAATCTGAATGTGTTTTTTAATATAATGCTACTTTGCTACATTGAACCATATGTGGGTTCATCCATCATACTTAGTATCTCTGACAGATAAAGACTAAAAGAACAGAGAAAGTTGTATTATTATCTCTTTCACTCTTTACTATTCAGGAAAACAGACAATATCCCATATTATGGGAAAGGATTTTAATGCACCTCCACTACTAAGTACCTACTTGAGTTTCTAAGTAATTTATTTGTTCCTTCTTCTGTCTGTTCATATATAGGACATACTTGGGTGGAAGTATTAATCATATTCTAGCTCATGGACTAAGCCCTGGAAAGCCAAGGTGATAAAGTAAGATGCTCGCAGAATAGTAAGGAAAGCAAAAAATAGATAATACCTATAGCTTGTACTAGTTAGATATGGAATCATGCTTTCTGGAACTCCAAGGCAGATGCATCTCACCCAGTGTTAAGATAAGGCTGCTTAGAGAAAGTGGTCAGAAGCACACACGTTTCCTGAGTATAGTTAAATAAAGACAGAGCTAGAACCACCATAGGCAATGACAGTAGCACATTAATTTATGGCAGGACGACAGTGCAGTGCAGAAGTGCATCTGAACATATAGCCATATATAAAAGGTAGTGAACTCTGGACCTAAGTTAGTCAAAATACACATATTATTTTAGAGCATTGAAATAGTTTTAGTTGATGAATACCTTGATCAAAATTGCAGTTGTAAAGAATAGTTTGATTATACTATGGATAATTAGAACAAGTGTTTGCTTCTTGTTCGATTTTGGGGTGCCATACTCAGCGGTTCTCAGGGCTTATTCTGCACTCAGGGATCACTCCTAGTGCAGCTTGGGGGACCATATGGGGTGTCAGGAATCAAATCCAGATACTCATGATATCAGTCTGGTCTCAAATACTTGCTTTTTCCATTTGGCATTTGCTGAGAGGGGAAAAAGAAAATATCATGACGACTTTTGAGTCATTCCCTAGACAATTAGCTTTTTTGCCCCCTTAACTAAGGGTTCCTTTTGCCCCATGCCATTCATTCTCATTCATAGCCCCTTGTTGGATGTTAACACAGAATCATGTAATGCCATCTGGGTTCATGAGGGACTTGATGGTGTTCTGACCACTCTATCTGTTATTTCCTGGTATAATGCTCAATGGACAGCTTCCTCTCACCATAAATGCAGAGCCCTGACCCTTCTACTCTGGCGACTCCTAATTATAATGATAAATAATAATCATTAATATAATTTATTGAGAA